GAAATGTGTAGTCGAGCTGTTTTCTTGAATTAATTTCCCATTCGCTGCTACACGATTCAGATACAATGGCATTTAGGTGCCGATTTATTTGCATCCGAAGAGACCGTTAGAACCTATCACAGGTTTTGTTTGATTTTTGCTTTTTTTGAGCTGTTGGCTTTTAGCATGAGAATATGCGGCGTTAATGCCTTGCTCGACGGCAAAAAAGCTCAGTCATAACTCTAAAACGTCCGCGAGGTTTACAGGAAAACATGTAAGCAATTTTTTAGATTTAAGCGATTTTTTCCACTAAAATAAATACAAGCCAATTTGATGTTACTTATAGTAAAATTTTAATTTAAAACCCATATGCAGATTAAATTAATTAGAAATTAATCTAAATAGTGATTTAAAATGTGGCTAATACGCAAAGGTTTCGCAAGCACCGACCCCCTCTTCATTCCAGTGACTACTCATAATATTACTCAATCTTATTTTGGCAAGTACTAGGCCCGCCCACCCACCCTCTATTTTCTTAGAAGATATGTGATTTGCCAAAATTTGTTTCATCTTAGCATGTACTAGGCCCACCCACCCGCCCTCTGTCTTCTTACAGCGTATGTGATTTGCTTAAATCAGTTTTATCTTAGCAAGTAATGACAAAAATTAAAAATTGAAAAATTGCTAATGGAAAAATTGAAGAAACGAAAAATTCAAAAATCCAGAAAGTGAGAAATTAAAACTTGAAAACTCGAGAAATTGCAAATAGAAAAATGGCAAAATCTGAAAACGGGAACATCTAGAAAATTGGAAAACGAAAAACGAAAAAAATTAAAATTGAATCAAAAAATAAAATCTAAACACTGAAAAATCGAATAAGTGAAAAAACAACACAAACAAAAAACCGAAAAATTGCAAAATATAAAAATTGAAAAAATCAAAAGTTGGAAAATTGAAAATCTTAAACTTGAAAAAAAGCTTTTTTTATTTAATCAATAATACATATATGGGCAAAAAGGGGGGATTTATTTTCATTTTCGAGATCGTGTAAAACGCCGAGACAACCTGAAATCCACCATTAGGAATTTGAATTATGAAAAAAACAGTAGGGGCCCCCAAAGAGGTGGGCGGAGCTGAGTTTAGCTTTTTCTAAAGAGCTTTATAAGCAAGCAGTGGCCCCGCCCACCGACCCCCTCTTCATTCCAGTGACTATTCTAAATATTATTCAATCTTATTTTGGCAAGTACTAGGTCCGCCCACCAACCCTCTGTCTTCTTAGAAGATATGTGATTTGCCAAAATTAGTTTTATCTTAGCATGTACTAGGCCCGCCCACCCGCCCTCTGTCTTCTTAGACAGTATGTGATTTGCCAAAATTAGTTTTATATTAGCAAGTACTAAGAAAAATTAGAAATTGAAAAATTGCCAATGGAAAAATTGAAGAAACGAAAAATTGCAAAATCCAAAAATTGAGAAATTAAAAATTGAAACCTCGAGAAATTGCAAATACAAAAATTGCAAAATCTGAAAATTGAAACATCCAAAAAATTGGAAATCGAAAAACTGAAAAATTTTAAAATGGAAACTGGAAGAGTCGCTTATCTTAAAAATGAAAAAGTAAAGAAAAATGAAAAAGTAAAGAAAAATGAAAAATTGAAAAATTGAAGAAACGAGAAACTGAAAAAATTAAAATTGAAAAAACAAAAAAATAAAATTTAAACACTGATAAATCGAATAAGTGAAAAAATAGCAAAAATAAAAAACCGAAAAGTTGCAAAATATAAAAATTGAAAAATTCAAAAGTTGGAAAATTGAAAATTAAAGACTTGAAAAAGAAATCGATTTTTATTTAATCAATAATACATATTATATGGACAAAAACGAGGGATCTATTTTCATTTTCTAGATCGTGTAAAACGTCGAGACAACCTAAAATCAACCATTAGGGATTTGAATTCTGAAAAAAGCACTAGGGGCCCCCAAAAAGGTGGGCGGAGCTGAGATTAGGTTTTTCTAAACAGTTTTATAAGCATGCAGTAGCCCCGCCCACCGACCCCCTCTTCATTTCAGTGACTACTCTTATTATTATTCAATTTTATTTTCGCAAGTACTAGGCCCGCCCGCCCACCCTCTATTTTCTTAGAAGGTATGTGATTTCCCAAAATTAGTTTTATCTTAGCACGTACTAGGCCCGCCCACCCGCCCTCTGTCTTCTTAGAGGGTATGTGATTTGCTTAAATCAGTCTTATCTTAGCAAGTAGGTACTAACAATAATTAAAAATTGAAAAATTGCTAATGGAAAAATTGAAGAAACGAAAAATTAAAAAATCCAAAAACTGAGAAATTAAAAATTGAAAACTCGAGAAATTGCAAATAGAACAATTGCAAAATCTGAAAATTGAAACACCCAAAAAAATGGAAAATCGAAAAACTGGATCGTGTTGAGACAATCTGAAATCAACCTTTAGGGATTTGAATTCTGAAAAAACACTAGGGGCTCCCAAAAAGGTGGGCGGAGTGAGTTTAGGGTTTTATAAAGACTTTTATAAGCAAGCAGTAGCCCCGCCCACCGACACCCTCTTCATTCCAGTGACTACTCTTAACATTATTCAATCTTATTTTGGCAAGTACTGGGCCCGCCCACCTCTATTTTCTTAGAAGGAATGTGATTTGCCAAAATTAGTTTTATCTTAGCATGTACTAGGCCCGCCCACCCGCCCTCTGTCTTCTTAAAGGGTATGTGATTTACTTAAATCAGTCTTATCTTAGCAAGTACTAACAAAAATTAAAAATTGTAAAATTGCTATTGGAAAAATTGAAGAAACGAAAAATTAAAAAATCCAAAAACCGAGAAATTAAAAATTGAAAACTCGAGAAATTGCAAATAGAAAAATTGCAAAATCTGAAAATTGAAACGTCTAGAAAATTGGAAAACGAAAAACTCAAAAAATTAAAATTGGAAAAAAAATTAAATCTAAACATTGAAAAATCGAATAAGTGAAAAAATAACAAAAACAATAAACCCAAAAATTGCAAAATATAAAAATTGAAAAAATCAAAACTTGGAAAACTGAAAATTTGAAACTCGAAAAACATTTTTTATTTTTATTTAATCGATAATACATATTATATGGACAAAAACGGGGGATCTATTTTCATTTTCTGGATCGTGTAAAACGTCGAGACAACCTGAAATCAACCATTAGGGATTTGAAATTTGAAAAAACACCGGGGGCTCCCAAAAAAGTGGGCGGAGCCTGTTTAGGTTTTTCTAAACAGTTTTATAAGCAAGCAGTAGGTAGCCCCGCCCAGCGACCCCCTCTTCATTTCAGTGACAATTCTTAATATTATTCAATATTATTTTGGCAAGTACTAGGCCCGCCCACCCGCCCCCTGTCTTCTTACAGGGAATGTGATTTGCTTAAATCAGTCTTATCTTCACAAGTACTAACAAAAATTAAAAATTGAAAAATTGCTAATGGAAAAATTCAAGAAACGAAAAATTGAAAAATCCAAAAAGTCAGAAATTAAAAATTGAAATCTCGAGAAATTGCAAATAGAAAATTTGCAAAATCTGAAAATTGAAACATCCAAAAAATTGGAAAATCGAAAAACTAAAAAATTTAGAAATAGTAACTTGAAGTGTCGCATGTCTTAAAAATGAAAAAACAAAAAACAAATAAAACATTTAAAAATTGAAGAAACGAGAAACTGAAAAAATTAAAATTGAAAAAACAAAAAATTATAATCTAAACACTGAAAAATCGAATAAGTGAAAAAATAACTATTCTATTTTCATTTTCTAGATCGTGTAAAACGTCGAGATAACCTGAAATCAATTTGGGATTTGAATTCTGAAAAAACCACTAGGAGCCCCCAAAGAGGTGGGCGGAGCTGAGATTAGGTTTTTCTAAAGAGTTTTATAAGCAAGCAGTAGCCCCGCCCACCGACCCCCTCTTCATTCCAGTGACTACTCTTAATATTATTCAATCTTATTTTGACAAGTACTAGGCCCGCCCACCTACCCTCTATTTTCTTAGAAGGTATGTGACTTGCCAAAATTAGTTTTATCTTAGCCTGTGTTCTTAGAGGGTATGTGATTAAATCAGTCTTATCTTAGCAAATACTAACAAAAATTAAAAATTGAAAAATTGCTAATGGAAAAATTGAAGAAACGAAAAACTGAAAAATTTCTCGCATATTTTAGCCATTTTTGGCATATGTGTAAGGCCAAATTTCTCTGCATATAATTCCGAGCTTTACTTATGGCGCTCCGACGCAGCCTTGGCTACAGCAAATGTCATAATTTGTGTTATTACACTTTAAAAAATACTAAAAATGAGTACCGCAATACTCGCCTGCAGGTCGTGTGGCAAAACTCATCCTCATGAGTAATCACCGTCATTACATGCTTGTGAAATAATACACCCGCATTGCAAAACCCACTCAGACTTTTTGTGGCGCACAGTATGATGTTACTTATAACAGAAAACCTAGCTCTAGTAATTCTTATTTGATTATTTTTGCTTTTCATAATCTGGCTAATAAGACATAAATTGTGTCATCATCATTACTCTTCGCGTGTCCCTGCATATTTAAAATCAAGCGCACACTGGGTAAGGTAAACGTAATGTCACGTACAAAAAATACAGATTGCAGTGCACGTAAACATACATATACATATGTTGCACTCCACATTTCTACAAAAACGCATTCTGAAACACATCCATGTATCTTCTGGGACAACTTAAGTACACTTGCTTTGACTTCTTTTTAAATCTACCTGATTTACCCACCAGACAGGTGTTCCTTTTTTTGATATAGGATAAACATATTGGTGTACGTTAGGCTCTAGACGTTTTAGTATCAACTAGAAACGGTTATTTGTTTCCATATGACGAGAATTAAAATTTCTTGATTAGCATAATCGTGAGTTTGTGGCCGGTAGGTGAAAACTAGGTATGCATTTTTTTAATAACTCTATTAATTTGTTAAATTTGCGTAAGTACTGGTTCGAGTTACCTTGAGTCGGAATATGCAGTATTCTGTATTTGGGTTATCCGTGTTTATGTTTTTTCCGATAGATGACAGAACTTTCCTGATATAAAACCAAGTGACAGATAATTTCGCACTCCTATTGTCCTAGTGTAACGTAAAATTACGTAATATTTAAACGTAAAAAACACGTATTTCTTACCCTGCACGTAATAAACTTGGGAAACACACCAAAAAGACACTGATTTTTCTGGTACAGTGGGTACTGTTAATGCACTAGATACTGTTATCGAGAAAATGTAATTGTGAGGTTAAGATCTTGTCATTATTGCATGGCAAGGTCATTGAAAGGTTCATGAAGCGTAAGTGGGCAACTAATTATATCTGGACTGATTAATTATGCTCTGTGTACATGTATTCAATGTTAGAAACTGTTCTAATGCAAAATTTTCTAAAATTGTAAAAATTCCATGTCGATTTCAATTTTAATAGTTTTCGCTCTGTGTTAAGTGTTAAAAAAGGTTCTGTGTTGTCAATGTACAGATTTGATTTATTTTGACAGCACACTTGGATTGATCCTGATATTTTAAACCCTCTTTATGCTTCGTAGACTTCTCATCACCACGTCGCCTTTACATTTTTATTTATCATTTATGTTTGTGTAAAAATCCTGCGTTATTTTTTACCCATTAATCATATGTAGGGCGTTAAGTTATACTACTTTATCGATCTGATAACTGAGTCGGTTAAATTATGACGCCATAAACTAAGGCTATATAATTCACTTTGTACTTAATTTATTGAGATTTGTTTGTTGACTGATACCTATACGATGAATACAATGTAGTAGTTTAGTCATTGTAACTACGTGGGTACATGCAGTTCTTCAACTGAATTGAATCAAAATCTGAGAATTTTTATAACAATAAAATAATGATAAGGTAAGAATTATAATAATAACATTCAGAATATTTTGTTCGATTGAAGCTTATTAATAATTTTGGTCATCTGTTTTGAGGCGATAAACTCATTCAAATCAAGTGTCTACGTGACATTCTTCCGATGTATAAACATACACATTTTAAACACTGCACATATTGCTCAGATACCACTATTCCCGTCGGTAATGTGCTGTAAATGTATTTTAGCATCCGTACCTCGAAGTTCTGGCCTAAATGTAACGGAACATAAAATTTATTTGTTTTTAATTTGGTTATTACAAAAATATTTATGTACAAAATGCAAAATTTTCCAGGCGTTCCAATAATTTATGACTTGCGGTCAGGCAGCCACCTGTACAAAAAGCTGCCGCCTGAGTTTTGTTTGCAGTATCGTTTATCATTCTTATTTTGCTTTTTTTATCGTTCAATAAAGTATATCGCACACTTTTGAAATTACTGCATTTGCATTCATATTTTTTCGATTTGCTTATACAGGGTGATGCAAAAAAAATTAATGACTTAATTTATTTTATTGATTCAATCAAGAGGTTTTGAAGTTATTGCAAATATGCTAAATTTTTAATCAAAATATCTCTTAATATATATAGTATAGTTTTCTTTTCACAATAAGAAACTTAAAACATGTTTAAAGTGGTAAATTTGTATAGTGAAATATCAATTTTACGCTCCGCCCCCGGTCTGACAACGAATGAAAAATTCATCACGACTGAGATCGAGACGGATGGGTGGGGCTTCTCTTTGGGTTTTCATTTTATTTAATACACTTAGTTTTCTTTGTATAACACGATTACTTAAGAACATATTTCACATGGTAATTTCTCGTAGAAGAATAAGGATCTTAGAATTAAACTCCGCCCCTCGACTTACGACGAATAAAAGAATCATCAGAATTGAGATTGGGCGGGTGGGCGGGGCTTATGTTTTTCCTTTTTTTCTTTCTTAATATACATAGTCATCTTTTCACAACAAGAAACTTATAACATGGTTAAAATGGTACATTTTTGCAAGGACATTTTGCAATTATGGGGCGGAGCCTAAGTGCAAGCTCGATATTTCCTTATACAAATTTAAACGGGTTTTAAGTTTCATGCTGTGAAAAGAAATCTACACATATTAAAACAAAAAGGCAAAATGTAAGCCTGCCCACCCACCCTACCTCCATTGTGATTTTTTTTTGTTCACCGAGAGCTCAAGAAATCAAAAAATGGAAAAGTAGAAGAAAATGGAATTGAAATTTTGAGAAATCGAAAAGTAAAAAAAATTGAAAAGTCTAAAAACTGAAGAACATAAACATTAAAAAATGAAAATTCGAAAAATTAAAAATCGAAACATCGAAGAGTAGAAAGATGAAACATCGAAAAGTAAAATAATTGAGAAATCAAGAAACTGAAGAATGGAAAAATTGAAATTCAAAAAGTAAAAAAACTGAGAATTCTAATATCGAAAAATCGAGAAGCAAAAAATTAAAAAGTTTAGAAACTGAAGAACGGAAAAATCAAAAAATCTAAATTTTGAAAAATCAAAGAATTCAAAAATTCGAAAATCGAGAAATCGGTAAAGGAAACGAACTGAATATTCAAATATCAAAAAATCCAAAATTGGATGAACAAATATTGGAAAAAACGAAAATGAGAGAAATCAAAAATTGAAAATTAGAAAATCAAAAAAACAAAAAGTCAAATATTCTAAAATCGACGACCGAAAAATCCAAGAATCGAAATATAGCAAAAATGAAAAATCAAAAATCCAAAAAATGGAAAAATCGAAAATTCGAAATTACGAAAATTGAAAAACGGAGAAATCGAGTCATGGGAATATTGAAACACTGAAATATTGAGAAATCGAAATATCAAAAGATCGAGAATCGAGAAATAAAAAAATTGAGAAGTCGAGAAATCGAACATTAAAATAAGTATTACACAATTGAAAAATCCAGAAATGAAAAAATTCCTAAAATTAAAGTGTTGAATAGTTGAGAAATTGAAAACTTGAAAAATCGAGAAATAGAAAAATTATAAACATTGAAAAACCGAGAAGTGGAGAAATGAAAAAATCGAAAAATTGAAATACATATTGAAATATTAAAAAATTGAAAATTTTCAAAAATTTGACGAATTCAGAGACTGAAAATTCCCGAAAAAATATTGAAAAATTGAAAAGTTGAGAAGCGGAAGATAAATTGAACAGTAGAAAAACAGAAAAATTCCAAAACTAGGACATCGAAAAACTGAGATATCGAGAAGTCGAAAAACCGAAAAATTTAGGAACACCAAAAACGGAAATATTCAAGAATCAAAGTTTTTCGATTTGCTTATACAGGGTGACGCAAAAAAAAATAATGACTCAATTTATTTTATTGATTAAATCAAGACGTTTTGAAGTTATTGCAAACATGCTAAATTTTTAATCAAAATATCTCTTAATATATGTAGTATAGTCTTCTTTTTACAATAAGAAACTTAAATCTTGTTTAAAATGGTAAATTTGTATAGTGAAATATCAATTTTACGCTCCGCCCCCGGTCTGACAACGAATGAAAAATTCATCACGACTGGGATCGAGACGGATGGGTGGGGCTTCTCTTTTGGTTTTCTTTTTAATTAATACACTTAGTTTTCTTTGTATAACATGATTACTTAAGAACAAATTTCACATGGTAATTTCTCTTAGAAAAATAAGGATTTTATAATTAAACTCCGCCCTTCGACTTACGACGAATAAAAAAAATCATCAGAATTGAGATAGGGCGGGTGGGCGGGGCTTATGTTTTTTCTTTTTTTCTTTGTTAATATACATAGTCCTCTTTTCACAACGAGAAACTTATAACATGGTTAAAATGGTACATTTTTGCAAGGACATGTTGCAATTATGGGGCGGAAACAGGTTTTAAGTTTCATATTGTGAAAAGAAGTCTACACAAATTAAAACATTAAAACAAAAAGGCAAAATGTAAGCATAAAAACTGAAGAACATAAAAATTGAAAAAATGAAAATTCGAAAAATTAAAAATCGAAACATCGAAAAGTAGAAAGATGGAAATTGGGAGTATCGTAAATCGAAAACTCGAGAAATCAATAAATCGAAAAGTAAAATAATTGAGAAATCAATAAACCGAAGAATGGAAAAATTGAAAATCAAAAAGTAAAAAAACTGAGAATTCTAATATCGAAAAATCGAGAAGTAAAAAATTAAAAAGTTTAGAAACTGAAGAACGGAAAAATCAAAAAATCTAAATTTTGAAAAATTCGAAAATCGAGAAATCGGTAAAAGAAACGAACTGAATATTCAAATATCAAAAAATCCAAAACTGGATTGGAAAAAACGAAAATGAGAGAAATCAAAAATTGAAAATTATAAAATCTAACAATCGAAAATCAAAAAAACGAAAAGTCAAAAATTCTAAAATCGACGACCGAAAAGTCCAAGAATCGAAATATAGCAAAAATGAAAAATCAAAAATCCAAAAAAAGGAAAAATCGAAAATTCGAAATCACGAAAATTGAAAAACGGAGAAATCGAGTCATGGGAATATTGAAACACTGAAACATTGAGAAATCGAAATATCAAAAGATCGAGAATCCAGAAATAAAAAAATTGAGAAGTCGAAAAATCGAAAATTCAAATAAGTATTAAACAACTGAAAAATCAAGAAATGGAAAAATCTCCAAAATTGAAGTGCTGAATAGTTGATAAATTGAAAACTTGAATAAGCGAGAAATAGAAAAATTTTAAACATTGAAAAACCGAGAAGTGGAGAAATGAAAAAATCGAAAAATTGAAATATTAAAAAATTGAAACATTTCAAAAATTTGAAGAATTGAAAGACTGAAAATGCCCGAAAAAATATTGAAAAATTGAAAAGTTGAAAAGCAGAAGATAAACTGAACAGTGGAAAAACAGAAAAATCCCAAAACTAGGACATCGAAAAACTGAGATATCGAGAAGTCGAGAAACCGAAATGTCGAAAAATTTAGGAACGCCAAAAACGGAAATATTCAATAAAATATATCGCAAACTTTTGAAATTATTGCATTTTCATTCATATTTTTTCGATTTGCTTATACAGGGTGATGCAAAAAAAATAATTAATGACTCAATTTATTTTATTGATTCAATCAAGACGTTTTGAAGTTATTGCAAACATGCTAAATTTTTGATCAAAATATCTCTTAATATATGTAGTATAGTCTTCTTTTTACCAGTGGCGGCTCGTCAGATGAGGCAAGTGAGGCGGCGCCTCACAGCATATATCTTAAGAACAGATTGACTTAATTTCTAATTAAAAAAGAGTTTTCAATGCATTTTTAATTACAAAAATATGTTGAAATGGGAAATATGTACATAATTTTTTTTTACGCTTCCTGCT